CTCCAAACTCAAGAATGATCCATCCCTATGAGAAGGAAATCAAGCAAAGGTAGCAGGGGTTTGCATGTGTGAAAAAGGAGCTTCTGAAAAAAAATTAAACATAAAAAGGGAGCATACCAGAGATGGAAGCTGGAACAAGTGACTTGGAGAATACAGAGACGCTATCTGATCATGCAGGAAAGGGGTTAGGAAACTCAAAACCCACCTAGAAAGGATGTGAAAGGCAAAAAAAAGGCTTCCACAGGTCTATCTACAGCAAAATGAAGACTAGAGGAAATGTGGGCCCACTGCAGAATGGGGAGAGACCTGGTGATAAATAACATGGAAAGGGTTGAGATTCTTGACTCCTTCATTGCCTTGGTCTTTACTAGTAAGACTTGCCTTCAGCAATCCCATTTCCTTGAGACCTATGGGAAAGTCTGGAGCTAGGAAGACTTCCCTTGGTGGAGGAGGATCAGGTTAGGGAATAAACAAGGTAGGGACATAAATAAGTCCATAAGAACTGATGGGATGCACCCATGGGTGCTGAGGGACCTGGATGATATCGCTGTGAGCCTATTTTGATTATCTTTCAAAGATTGTGGTGATGGGGGAAGGTACCTGAGGACTGGGAGAAAGCAAATGACACTCCTGCCTTCAAGGAGGATTGGGGAAACTACAGGCCGGTCAGCTTCACGTCAATTCCTGGGAGGACGATGGAGAAGAGGATTATTCCTCCACAGGCGCATTTCACTTTGCTGAAGTTCATGAGGTTCCTGTCTGTCCATTTCTCCACCTTGTTCAGGTCCCTCTAAATGGTGGCACACCCATTTAGTGTTTCAGCAACCCCTTCCAATTGTGTATCACCTGACAACTTGCTGAGAGTACACTCTGTTCCATCATCTTGGTATGTAATGAAGAAGTTACACAGTATTTTATTCAGCTGTGACCCCTGAGGTACTCCACTGGTGACTAGACTCCAGCTGGACTTTGTGCTGCTTAGACTTATGAAAGGGAAATCATGCCTGACCAGTCTGATAGCCCTGTACAGTGAGATGACAGGCTCAGTGGGTGAGAGCGGAGTACTGGATGTTGTTTATCTCAAATTTAGTAAGGCTTTTGGCACTATCTCCCATAACATCCACATAAAGTACAGGCTAGATAAGTGTTCAGTGAGTTGGACTAAAAACTGGCTGAACTGCTTAGCCTCAAACAGTTGTGCACAAAATCCAGCTGGAGGCTGATCACTAGTGCCTCAGGGTCGATGGTGGGTCCAGAACTCTTTCATATGTTCATTACTGACCTGGATAATGGGACAGGGTGTATCCTCACCAGCAGATCAGGAGAAGTGATTCTTCACCTTTGCTCAGCCCTGGTGAGATACACCAGGGTGCTGTGTCCAGTTCTGGGCTTCCCAGTACAGGAGACTTGGACATACTGGAATGAGTCCAATGTATAAATGGACATGGACAATGTAGACGTACTGGAGTGAGTCCAGTGAAGGGCCACAAAGATGTTTAAGGGATAGGAGCATCTGACATACAAGCAGTGGCCAAGAGAGCTGGTACTGTTCAGCCTGGAGAAGAGAAGGCTCAAAAGTCTGACTGTGTAAACAACTTCAGCTTCTAAATCCAAGCACTCATATTCTTATTAGTCCTTCAGAGCTTCTGAGAGGCACTGGACAAAACCACATTTAGGAGTATATACTAAGACCACAACACAGACAAATCTGAGTGGTAAGGATAAATTATTGCCTTCAGACACATCTTGATTAGCGGTCTGTAATGTGTTTTTTAGCCAAGACTGTTACACAGTTAGAAGCACAAGGTTTGTTCTTGTTTCCTTGGATTTTGCTTAGTAGTGGTTAACATGCTACAGTTAATCAGGCTGTACGTTAGTGACAGGATTTACCCTGAAGTTGCAAAGGTAGTTAAAAAAAGGTACTGAAAAGCAGAGTGCGTAACATTTCTGGATGTCTCTGCTCAGGCAGAGTGGCAGATGACTGCTGCTATTAAACAAACATGCATACCTATATACCTAAATGACAGAAAAGGTGCTCAAGGAAAACCAGCAAGCACCTTATGATCAAAGGAACAAAAGCCAGTGAAGATGATAACTGCAGTCAAAGGTTTTTGGAAGCAGATACTACCTTGGTGTTTTATCTATGTCATATTTGACCAAACTTCACTTAGGCTTTAGAAGGAGCTAAGAACTGCACAGAGACAACAGTGGTCTTCAAGATGTAAGAGGTTCCAGATCCCCACAGATACTGAGGGGTTTACCTAGCAGGGGATCACCAGGACAGCAGCCCTATCATTTCCCCATCCCCTCTCTGTTTCACTTGCCTCTCAACGAGACATTTCCTGCTCCTTGCCCCTTTGCACTCCTGTTCTTGACAAGTTGTAACATCATTCATCTTCTGCAGAGCCACTCACTTAAATCATACCCTCACTTAAATTTCTGGCAGCCAGTATAACTCAGTGTGGCTGCACTGACTTAAAGGGGACTACAGGATCTTAAGCTATATAAGGATCTTATCACAGAATCACAGAATCAAAGAACGTTAGGGATTGGAAGGGACCTCAAAAGATCATCTAGTCCAATCCCCCTGCCGGAGCAGGAACACCTAGATGAGGTTACACAGGAAGGCGTTCAGGCAGGTTTTGAATGTCTCCAGAGAAGGAGACTCCACAACCTCTCTGGGCAGCCTGTTCCAGTGCTCTGTCACCCTCACTGAGAAGAAGTTTCTTCTCAAATTTAAGTGGAACCTCCTGTGTTCCAGTTTGTGTCCGTTACCCCTTGTCCTATCATTGTTTGTCACTGAGAAGAGCCTGGCTCCATCCTCATGACACTCACCCTTTAAATATTTATAAACATGAATGAGGTCTCCCCTCAGTCTCCTCTTCTGCAAACTAAAGAGACCCAGCTCCCTCAGTCGCTTCTCATAAGGGAGATGCTCCACTCATTTTATATCCTGCATATAAAATTTCAAATTCAGTATTGAAAGGAAACAGAATCCTTCTATGGGAGCTATTACATTAAGATCAACCCCAGTTCAAATATTTTTATTGAAGTAATATTACTACAAATCAAATATGCAATGCCTATGCAATCGTGCCTTCAATTATGGACTTGAAAATGAAATTTATTTCTAATTTGAAACATTCTTCCATTTCTTGGAAGTCCAAAGGAAGCTAGTATGGAATGGGCCATCACCAGCTTCACTAGTACCCATTTAAAAGTTAGTGTCTACTATTTGTCTCCAAATGAACTTTTTACAGATTTATTTAGATAAAACCACCACATATCAAGACAATGCAATTTTTCTGCAAAATGAGATGTTCTTAAGTTAACTGCAGAGAGACAGAGCAGGTGAGCAATGTGAGGAGGACAAGGCAGTGGCATGCAGGATAAGACCAAGACTGGATACACAAAGTAGTGTTACCTAATCCACTTTTGCAACTGTGACAAATGTGCTTTTCATCACAATACTTTCTTCCTCAGGAAAGGGCAATGTCATCCACAGAGTTGATTTTGTCACAAAGAAATTAGGTTTCCAATCAGCCATTCACAGTCCTGTACATGTAGCCTCAAGTTGGATTTTACAAATGCAACTGCCCCCCCTTTTGGCCAAGAAGGATTCCCCAAAGTGGTTTTGCAAGACATTTCAGGCTAATTTCGAAATGCAGTTCAGTTTAGAAAAGTTAATTACGCTTGTTTTAGGATATAAACTCTTAGTCAAAGCACAGAATATCCATTAAATTTCAAAACATTTCTACACTTATTAAGAAGAAGTGAAGATTTTCCTTTGCTTATGTGATGCTGTATTCTGGGCTAAATATGTGCACACATCAATTACTCAAGATAATAGGACGATTGTAACAACTGCGGGTATTAGTTGGTGTCTCAGGGTCAGGATTCCCATAAGCTACCAGACACGCAAGGGCTCAGTCAGGAGTGGTGCCAGCTCAGGCCACTGTAAGTGACACCATGACAGACGTGCAGTGCTCTGCCATGACAGGGGGCACGCTGTGAGACCCAAATCAGGCTGCTTTAGGTGGTCAGTCACCTGGTGGGATAGTTCTCCATCTAGAGCACCACCTCACAGATAACAGTGATGTAATGATGCCAATGCCTTAATTTATAGCTTGGAAGGAAGACTACTTAAGGGAGGGTGATTGCTGGAATATAAACATTTTAATTACTGCTTTTTAAGTGACTTTTCAAAGTAAATCTTATGAGCAATACAGATACCCATTTATATGCCATCTGGATAACAGCATTCAGTAAGAGGACAAGAAGCTGAGAATCAGAAATAACACAACGCCTCTGTACGAGTCAGGTCCTTTCAATCCAGAAGAGCATGTAACTTAGGAAAGCAAGCCCTGGATTTTCTCCTCTTTCTGGTTAGAGGAAGCTTTTTCAATATAGTTTCTATATCCTTTTCCTGACGCTGAAATGATAAATTGCAATATATTAAGAGATTTTTCTTAAATAATTACTCCTAACTAATACAGTAATAAAGACAGAAAACGCCTCCACAGGCAATGTCACAGTTTAGTGAAGCCTCAATGAAAATTCATGGCAGAAATGAAAACCAAAACAACACTGAAAGACACTGCTTACATGTGCTGGGCATGTATTTTGTATCAATAGCTTTCTGGTTTTTAAAAGGAATACTAGCAAACAGGAGAAATATTACTTTAAAAAAAATCATAATTCTGTACTACAAAATTTGATACCAATGAACAAATTACCTCTGGGTTTTGACCTTACCATTAATACATTGAGAAGTAGATACACTAAATGGCTTAAATGGCAAATCTTAGGTTTAAATCAAAATGATGGCTAATCTTGTGAATTTGACACATTTGCAGAGCCAGGCAGTAGTCTGGTATGTGGTCCTTAGCATATCTATAAAGTTAATATTAGCCTGTCCTGTGAAGTTCTCCTCTTTGTAATTGCTACAATTTTTCTACATGAAAAATTAAGTAATGAAAAGTAGGAAAGTGTCAAAATACCTGATTAATTATCTGTTGTTGTAATTTTTCTCCAGTCTCTGAAAGAGAAAGAAAATAATTAGTTTGTACATATTTTAATGAATATGATAAAATACATACTGAACAAAAACCAGCGACTTCAGCAAAAAATAATCAAACTTTATAATTAAGAAATAAAATTTAACATGTACAAATGACTACAAACTTCAAAATGAAAATCCACCTAAAAGAAACACAATGAAAGTTGTGAGATGTACTGATGCACAAAGACATGCCTAAGAAGGTGGTAACATCCAGCTCAGGATTTGATCACTGAAGGAGAAAAGTAGCTTCTGCCATTACCCTAAAATAAAAGTACATGTCTATGTCAAGACTGATGTTAGGCACCAGCTGGCTCAAGGGAGAAATTCTATCCTGATAACATTCACAAAGTGGCAAGCTGAGTTACGGTCTTGCTTCCTTATTCTGGCCTTCTGCAGTGTCCTTCAGTGTGCTTCTGAAGACATGTTCAAAGCCTAGACAGAACAGTGCTTTTCTGCAGCCATCTGGGTCTGGGAGCATCTGAGCAGCAATGAGACGTCAAACCTATTCTTTTAGATCAAAAGGGACAGTCATTTTGCCTCATTTACTGTTCCTATGCACTAGTTGTCAAAAGGGCAGCTGGTAACAATTACCCTCCCTTTGCTTCTGGAGACCATCCACACGTATTGGGGAAAGTCAGGAATTTGACATTTACCTATCCAGCTAGGCTACATGTACCCATTAGAGTTTTTTTTAAGTAATAATGATAGGATACTGTTTATAACCTGTCAATATCATTATTAAATGTCAGGGGAGCCTGTTTCTGCCCAGCACAAGTGGCCGCATCCTCCAGCACTGGAAATACACGCCATTTCAACAGAATTTCTTCATGCTGATGTATGTGGCACTAGATAGATTGTTACAAAATGAGGTGAAAATATTTTAAATGTTAAAACACAGCATGCAGACTATTTATTAAAGAAAAATTATCTTCCCTACTTATCCCTGAGAATACTCCTCTTCTCAAGGAAAGCATTTTAGATAATTCAGATAAAGTTAATCACTTTAGGCTATATTATAAGATTGTCGCTTATGATAATTATTTCCTGCACGCTTGTGTTGTGTTTTTATTTGCAAAATAAAAAAAAAAGCCTTTTTTTTGTTTCCAAACTTTCCCCCCCAGACTTCAACTAGCATTTAGAGGAAACTTCTCAAAAATGTGTTCCCTTGTTCACTGTGTTCCTCTTTGGGAGAAACAGAATTTATTCTTGTAACTAATATTTTAACCAAAGAGATTGTTGGTAATAGAAGATTAAAGGAGTATGTGTTTTCAGCATTCTCTAATGATATACAAGTTGCTAGGAAAGCAGTGTGTTTGAAATCTCTGGTTAGATCAACACTGTTTTGCTCAAAGGTTTGTGGACTTTGAATACTGATGCTTTCCTGTTTCCCAGTACATTTGTTTTTAGGCTATTTTGATTCACTTTAAAGGAATTTTAATAACTTTCTGTTGACAGCATGGACAGCTGGTCTTGAGAATTAGTGAAAATTCACTTGCTGACTGAGGAAGGAAGTGACATCAATGAGTTTCTAAAGTCAGCCCAGGAGGAAAAGTGTGCTCCGCCAGAGTAGCCTTTCATGCCATTTTATTTCCAGTGATGCCTCAAGATGCAGATCGCATTATCAATCAAACTTGTGGTTTCTACCTCAGACAAATATAAAAATGAACAGAAAGACTGTGAAAGACCTTTGTGGCCATTCCTGACACTGCAAAGGAAAAGGTGAAGAAGAATTTATGGTTGTTCTTTCCTCGTTCACTCTTAGTTCTTTCTGTTGGCGAGATAAATACTAAAGTATCAAGGAAAATGGCAGCTGCAGAAGTGTCTGTATGATAAATCAGTAATGATGACATGGCTTAAACAGGACAGAGATTGACTAGGCTGTTAAGGGTAGACAAGAGATCAAATTCAAGGTCACCAGCAAACTGAATACTGTGTTCTCCATTTATTCACTAGATGATCCTTGTCCTCATCACAGAGCAACTACGTGAATTTGGCATAGTCAGCAGTTGTACTCAGAAGAGGCCAAGGTCTGTGATAACAGAGATGCTTCAAATTAGGGTGGAAATACAGTGGCACTATTATATGGGAAAGCCTGCAAAGTCCTAGTGTGTACCATACTTTTGTTTTAAAAAGAAAAACTACAAAAAGCAGAGAAAAAACATAAACATGTGAAACATCTTATTTCTTAGCCTGAATAATCACTTATTTCCCTCTTTCTCACTGCTTATAGATCAACATTAAGTTAAAAAGAGAATTTTTTCAAAAACAACTATTATCAACTAAAAATGTCCCTCCAGAATTCAGCTTAAAAAGAGAAATAGTTTTAAAAGGTACAAGAACGTCACACCATGACAACATCTGCAGCACTGAAAGGTGGGTCAGTTTCTTTCTCACAGTAAGGCAGCAGAAAGGTTCGCCATTGAAAGTAACCAAAATTTTGCTTGTACTGTTTGGTTTTGGTTTTAATTTTTAAATCCCCAAAATTCTCTTACAGTGGCTATCCACTAATCTGTGTTTTATTTCCTGGAACCCTCAGTTTCAAGAATGTTTCTGTTTAGGTGCCTTGTGAGCACTTGTAGTAACCATCAGCACTCACTAGAGGGATTCAAGAAGCACCGCTAGAGAGAGCACTCCAAATTCAAAGGACGTGAGGCAATGGTACACGGACAAAACTAGAACTATCAGAACATGCTAGCCAGTCCAACAGTCAACACCCGTGTTAGTCTCACAAAATGCAGGTAATTCTTGTGACTTGCCATAAGTTTCACTACTGATAGACCTACACGTGCTAAATTCAAACTTTACAACTTTTCTAGAGCTACTGCAATTGAAGCAGCACCTTACACAATATGAATAGATGCATGAACATCAAACTAACTGGGAAATTTTCTGTCATCTGGAAATTTATATGGAAACTGCCCAGCAGATAGCTGGTGTAGTCCAAGGGAAACAACTTCTGCAACCTGGACTGCATGTGAATGGCTTCTTGTTCTCCTATATTTCTCCTGAAACTTCCTTTTAATACCTGTCACCTGACATACTGCTCCTAAGTGTGTTTCATTGATACTTTGAATCAAAATATATATTTACCAAAAGATATATTACCAATACATGATTCTTATTTGCTGAGGCTCTGCTCTCCTGCCGCTCTAACTGAGGCTAAACTGGTGCAACTGGATTCCAACAAAGTCTTTGCATTGGGACTGGAGAAACAAACCTCCCTCAACTAATTTTTAGTGATTTTCTCTTGTCTCTCCAAATACAAAAAGTGTAAAACAATACCTTTATGTGGTTTTGGATGGTGGAGATAAACAGCCTTCTTGAGTTGACCTCAAGCTATACGACTTTAGAAAAAAAAAATACAGCAAATATTCTTTAAAAGATTTCTGTGTATTTTCATACACTAATTAGTATACAAATTTGTGTTTCCGGGGCAAATATGGTTTTTCAACATTTTTTTTTGCTTGCTTGTTCTTATTATAAGAAAGAGGGTCTTACTAATAGGAATAATGTATGTTTTCTAGTGTAACTGACCACTGCAAGACACAGGAGTGTGCCGTAACTGATGCTGCCACAAGGACCTACAACATCGACTCCTCAGCCTTACGCACACAACCTACACAGAGAACAACGTGTAATTATGCACACTATGCCCTGCTTACCTCCATACAAAGGAATGTGATATTTGTGCAGGTTTACAGATTAATCTGCTGTAATTCCTTTTAATGTTAAACTACTTCCAGCTCAAATGTAATTAAGATCACCAGGTACAAAAGATTCAGATTGGAAATATGAGTACACTCCAACAGAACAAATAACAGCTTGATGCTGTTTCTTATGTTCAAATAGTTGGATACATTAAGGATTTTGACAGCATGTTTGTTCCCTAAGTACATAGCAGAATTAAAAAAGGCTTCATTTCAAAAGGCAAAAGACTACTACTGCATTTAATTAGAGTGTAAAATCCCTTAAATACACCGATCTGCCAATTTATGTGACGTGACTGCTACAAGTTCTGGCAGCAGAGGATTTAGGTTTTTTTTCCCTCCCAAAAATCAAATCCCAATTCATACTTTATGCGACCATCATCAACACCAATAAAATGAAAACTTTGGAATAAATAGTTCATTTCATTAAGTCTTTCAGGTAATCCTACTAGTATTTGTGGTATGGTAGCAAGGCAGGGAACGAACAGAAATTCTGGATCTATCCCCTTTTTCCCAAGTGTCTGAGGGTTTTGAAGCAGATTGAGAAAACTGGGGAAAATCCCAGGGGCAAAAGGGACCCTCAGCCTTGTTCTGAAACAGCCATGTGCATAGTCTGAAACAGCCATATTCACTGAACTGCAAATAGGAATGGCACTAGTAGAGTAAATCAGTTTTGAAGAGAGAATTTGATATTCTAATATAAGTTTGGGGTTTTTTGTTGTTGTTATTTTTTTTCTCACTCTTTTTTTTTTTTCAGTTCATGACAGAAACACTATCAGCTTTGGATTTTACTTTACTTTTATAGACCTAAAATACACATATGTGACCTACTGGGTTATGATACACTCCACTTTCATTACTGGTTTACTAATCTACCAGAGCAGATTCTAAGAAGTGAAGGAAATCAAAGCACTTGTTCATGACAAACTTCTGCAGCAATTCTTCAGGGCACCAGAGCCTGAGAAAGAAACACTCAGATTTGTTTTTCAGATTTATAGTATGACACTAACAGATTATATTCTGTGAAAGCCTGTACCTTGGCACACAGATTAAAATATTTAGGAGAGAACTATACATTTCCTATAAATTATCCACAGGAACTCCAAGATCTGTAAGCAACACAGCTCCTGTGTACAAGTGGAGCGTTTCCCTCCTTCTAACAAGAAATTCAGAAAAGTGAAACTGCTCATTTATAGCATTGCCTTCAAAACCTAGTTTAGCTTACTTTTGTACCTTTATGATAATTATGCAACTGAGTATGATTACAGT